GCAGCTTGCATGCATGCATGCATGCATGAATGGGGGCTTAAGCCCCCCATGCATGCATGCATGCATGCATGCATGCATGCATGCGCCTTAGGCGCCTTATGCATGCATGCAAATGCCTACAACGTCAGGGCGCGCAGGGTGGAGCGCATGCAGCCCCAAGGTCAGCCGCAAAGCCTAAACCCTAAACCCTAAACCCTAAACCCTCACTGGCCGTTTATCTTCGTCATGGACTCCTCAATGGAGGTGAGGCGGCTGCGGCGTTTAATGGCGAAGGCGACGACCACGAGAGAGAGCAGCACCTGATAAAAGAGGCAGCAGCAGCAGCAGCAGCAGCAGCAGCAAGCTGAAGCGCCACTGCACTGTCTGTACACCTCAGGAGGCAACAGGAGCCCCCAGCAGCATCAGCAGCAGCAGCAAAATGAAGCACCCCTGAGCTGTCTGTATACCTCAGAATGCAGCAAAAAGCCCGAGCAGCAGCAGCAGCAGCAGCAGCAAAATGGGGCATCCCTGCACTGTCTGTACACCTCAGGGCGGCTGCGGGAGGCTCGAGGTGTACGTACACCTCAAATGCATACCTTAAGTCCCAAAAGACAAAGCCACACAACCACAGCGCATGCAACAGCTGAGGCAGACCTCCAGCTGACCCTGCAGCAGCAGCAGCAGCAGCAGAAGCAGCAACAGGATGCAGGCGGGAAACAGGTTGCCCAGCAGCAGCAACGCCTGCCACGGCAGCAGCAGCAGCAGCACACCAGCAGCAGCACCTGCCACAGCAGCAGGAGCAGTAGTAGCAGCAGCAGCAGCAACAGCAGCAGCAGCAGCAGCAGCAGCAAAAGCCGCTCGCCTACTTGGGCAGCACACAACTTATTAGGGTAACTATGTGGATCGACATGAAGCCAATCCGCCTGCAGCAGGAAACACAACAACCCCACCAGCAGCAGCAAGAGCAGCAGCAGCATCACGAGCAGCAGCAGCAGCAGCAGCAGCCACACCAGATGATGCACCAATCGATGCATACAGCTAGCCACCTCAAAAAGAAGCACGCAGTACGCGACCCAAGACCTAAACCCTAAACCCTAAACCCTAAATCTTAAACCCTAAACCCTAAACCCTAAACCCTAAATCTTAAACCCTAAACCCTAAACCCTAAACCCTAAACCCTACCTCGCGGGAATATGAGAAAATGAGTAGCAGCCCCAGCAAGGAACAGAATAGACAAATTTAGGAATAAGTGCAGCAGCCGCAGGCACTCGCGCCAGAAGCACATCAGCTATCAGCACCTGAAGCACAAACCCTAAACCCTAAACCCCAAACCCTAAACTCTAAGCCCTAAACCCTAATCCCGAAGCCTTAGCTTTGGCTGGGGTGAGCGCAGCGCAGCAGCACTGCGGGCAAGAGCTGCAGCAGCTAAAAAGCCGGTCGGCTAGCTGCAAAAAGGATTTAGGGTTTAGGGTTTAAGACGTAGGGCTTAGGGTTTACATTTTGGTAGTGCGCGAAGGACTCGACGGGTATCTTGTTGAACTTGACAAGGAAAATATATTTAAACCAGTCCACACACATCTCTAGCAAGAAGACCCCACACTGCAGCAGCAGCAGCAGCAGCAGCAGCAGCACTCACTGCACCAGCGGCAGGGGCACGAGGCGCCGCGGCCGCAGCTGCAGGCACCCTCTGGCCCTCCGCTGCAGCATCGCCCCTTGCACCCCCGCAGCAGCAGCAGCAGCACCCACCCCAGCAGCAGCAGCCCGCACCCGAGCAGCAGCAGCAGCCCGCACCCGAGCAGCAGCAGCAGCCCCCACCCCAGCAGCAGCAGCAGCCCCCACCCAGGCAGCAGCAGCCCCCACCCCAGCAGCAGCAGCAGCCTCGATCCGAGCAGCAGCAGCAGCCCCACCCGAGCAGCAGCAGCCCCCACCCGAGCAGCAGCAGCGGTTATTGGATTAATCTGTGGATTCTTCTACTTCCAAGAGTCTATGTTCGGTTATACAGCTAACAGCAGCCCCCACCCCAGGAGCAGCAGCAGCAGCAGCAGCAGCAGGCGCACCAGCCAGCTGCAGACGCCGGCGGGGGAAACAGTTTTGGCGGAAGCAGCAGTTGCGACTTTGAGGGAAACAATAAAAGCATCGCAGCAAAGATGAAAACGCTCTACTGTGTCTTCAGCAACAACGGAGTAGAGCTGCACTGCAGAGTACTTTTTGAAAACGGAAGACTTTATTTCTCCAAAGTTGTTCGTCACCAGCATCAGGAACATCGCGGACTGCAGCAGCAGCAGCAGCAGCAGCAGCGGCAGCAGCGGCGGCTGGGGGAGGCGGGAGGGCGGTTCATGAGCAACGGGGGGAACGGGGGCGACGCAAGCAGCAGGGACGCAGCAGCAACAGCAGCGACAACTGCAACAGCAGCAGCAACACAGCAGCAGCAGCAGAAGCAGCAGCAAGACAGCAGCAGCAGCAGCAGCAGGAGCAGCAAGCGCAGCAGCAAGAGCAGCAGCAGGAGCAGCAGAAAGGCACCAGCAGCATCAGGAGAAGGAGCAGCAGCAGCAGCAGCAGCAGCAGCAGCAGGAGCTGACCTCCGAGGAGTTGATGGCAATGTTGAGGCTGAGGACTCGAATGAGGTGCATCAGCGCATGCACAAGAACATAAACAACAACCCCACCATAGAGCAGCAGCAAACGGACCCAGACGTTTCTGGGGGAGAGCAGCGCTGCAGCGCGCTCAGCAGCAGCAGCCACTGCAGCCCAGCGGTCCTCCTTCGCTGCAGCAGCAGCAGCAGCAGCAGCAGCCGCCTCCCCCTCCTCCTCCGCAGCAGCGCCTCCCTGACTGCCCCTGCGCCTCCCGCCCCACGCCCCCCACCGCCGCTGCCGCTGCCGCTGCCGCTGCTGCTGCTGCTGCTGCTGCTGCCGCTGCTGCTGCTGCTGCTGCTGCGCTGCTGCCGCGTGGAGGAGGCCGGTGGCGTGGCGCATGAGCTCGTCGAGGGCGTCGCGGCCCACGCTGCGCCAGAGCTTCTCGAAAAAGTCCAACATGTTGAAAATGACATAAAGTTTCATGAAGGGTTGCGCGCGGATGCAGTGGTACACGATTGAGGTGTCTATACACCCCAGCAGCAGCGCGCACAGCCCCAGCACCGAAAAACGCAAAAACCCGCACAAGTCCGGCGCCGATATGCACAAGCCACCCACTCCCGCCTCCTGCTGCTGCTGCTGCTGCTGCTGCTGCTGCGGAGGCGGAGGCGGAGGAGGGGGCGGAGCCGCGGCGGCGTCGAAGCTGCGCTTCACCCCTGAATGCCGCTCCTGCTGCTGCTGCTGCTGCTGAGCAGACGCGCTCAAGTTAGCTACGGGACGAGACTCTGCGTCTGCTGCTGCGGCTTGTGGCTGTCCTGCTGCACGAGCTGCAGTCGCTGTTGCTGCTGCTGCTGTTGCTGTTGCTGCTGCTGTTCCTGCTGCTGCTGCCCGTGGCGTGGCCAGCGAGGCCACAGTGGACGCCCTCACTGGGCGCGGGCGCGGGGAGCTGCGCAGCGGCAGTGCGGAAGCTCCTGCTGCTGCTGCTCTTGCTGCTTCTGCTGCTGCTGCAGCAGCTGCAGGCGCTGCTTCTGAGCAAGTCCCAACCGGCGGCAGCAGCGGCCACGAGCTGCTCTCCCCACGACCCCCGCTTCTCCTCGTGCTGCGCCCAGCAGCAGCAGCAGCTGCTCCTGCTGCACCTCCGCCGCCGCCGCCAGCAGCAGCAGCAGCAGCAGCAGACAGCTGCACTGAAATTGGCTGCTGAGTACTCCAAGAAGCACTAGCTGCCCGAAGCCGCAGCGGGGCCCTGGGGGCTTCGAAGTTGCTGGAGAGGCCGCGGCTGCGGCCCAAGGGGATGCAGCAGGAGGCGGATCTTTTGCGTGCCGCAGCAGCAGCAGCAGCAGCAGCAGCAGTCGCTGCTGCTGCTGCTGCTGCTGCCGCTGCTGCAGCCGCTGGGTGCGACAGGCGCCGCCGGGGCTGCTGCTCCTGCTGCTGCCGCAGCACAGCAAAACTCATCAGCAGCCGGAAGCGCCCTAGGAGTGGAGCCACTGCTTTTCTCCCCCATCGCCTGAGCGTCAGTGCTGCTGCTGCTGCTGCAGCAGCAGCAGCAGCTGCTGCTGCTGCAGCAGCAGCCGCAGCAGCCCCCAAAGCACGCGGTGCCGCACGCAGCCGCCTCGGGGCGCTGCTGAGGAGGCGGGAGCCGCTGCAGGCCCGGCCCAAGCGCCTGGCGCAGCAGCAGCAGCGGCGCAGCAGCAGCAGCAGCAGCAGCAGCAGCACGCGCAGGGCCTGCAGCGGCATCATTGTGACCTCGTACAGCAGCGCGTCAAGACACAACACTGCCCCAAAGTAAACAACACATTCTAACTTGTAAGGCACCTGCAACAAACTCCGCAGCTGCGTCTCGGGGATGGAGGCCTCTCCCCTGTGCAGCTTGGCCTTTTGCTGCTGCTGCTGCTGCTGCAGCGGCGACGCCCGCTGCTGGCTGCCGCACGTGGGCGGCGAGTAGGGGCCCCCGTAATCTGCTGCTGCTGCGTAGGGGCCCCTGCTGCACAGCAGCGGGTCCGCAGGGCCACGGCGAGCGCAGAAGCCCTGCAGCGAGCCAGCCAGCTGCTGCTGCTGCTGCTGCAGCTGCTGCACTTGCTGCAGTTGCTGCAGTTGCTGCTGCGGCGGATTCAACAGCAGTGGCTCGCCGGGGACTTGGCGGCTCTTCATAGTGAGTATGTTCGCATGTGTGTCATCCGGTGGCACGAAATTCTGCCGCTGCTGCTGCTGCTGCTGTTGCTGCAGCAGCTGCTGCAGTGGCTGCTGCGAGGCTACTTCTGGAGAGGCCCTTAGGGAGTCCTGAAGGGGTATGGGGCCCCACACTTGTGTGCGGGGAGGAGCAAGTGACCCGTCGCTGCGGTGGCGCTTTGATGGGCTTGCAGCAGCAGCAGCAGCAGCTGCTGCTGCTGCTGCTGCTGCTGCAGGCTCGGGGCCTTCCATCACGGTGTAAACACTACTAGCCCTGCTGACGCCGTACATGATGCGGTTTGAGGCTGTTGCAGTCTGTTGCTGCTGCAGCTGCTGCAGCAAAACACGCAGCTGCTGCTGTTGCTGCTGCTGCTGCTGCTGGCTCTTCGCTGGGGTCTCTGTGAGCAGCGCAACTCCGTCGCTCCTGCGCTTCAAAAGTGCACTTTCATTCGGCACTGACAAGTCAGAGCTTCCCTGCAGCGCTGCTGCTGCTGCTGCTGCTGCTGCTGCTGCTGGCATTGTTGCTGCAGGGACAGTTGTGGCAGGCCTTCGTCCGAAAGGAGGAGGTGCAGCAGCAGCTGCTGCTGCAAAAGCAGCAGCAGCAGCAGCAGCTGCTGCTGCTGCTGGGCGGACACGACGGCTTGACGCCTCGTCCCTAATGAAGGAAAGAAGGTCCCAGTTTGAAACATTCCTGTACTCGCTGCTGCTGCTGCTGCTGCTGCTGCTGCTGAGGTCTGCCACGCAGCCAGCCAGATCGCGCGACGAATACAGATCTTCCTTGCTGCTGTTCCAGTGCTGCTGCTGCTGCTGCTGCCGCGCTTGGGACACTACATCAGTTGCCGTTACTGCTGCACTGTTGCTGGGAGCTAAACATACGCTTAAGAACTCGACTGGTCCTTCCTGTAGCGTTTGCTGCTGCTGCTCTTGCTGCTGCTGTTGCTGCTGCTGCACTTGAAGCTGCTGCTGCGGGGACTTGAGGTGCTGCTGCTGCTGCTGCTGCTGGTCCTGCAGCAGCCGAGCCTGCGTTGTCAACGGGCTAGCAGACGCCCGGCTGCCAGGCAGAAGAGCGGCCACCTGGCTGTCGCCCTGCTGCTGCTGCTGCTGCTGCTGCTGCAGCTGCTGCGGCAGCGGCAGGAAGCAAACAGGCTGGAGGTAAGGGGCCTCTTTTCGGAGGGGCCCCACAGCTGTGGGCGTTTGACAGAAAGGGGTATTGAGGCAGCTGCTGTTTGCTGTTAGGGGCGACAAGAAGCCAGCAGCAGCAGCAGATGCTGCTGCTGCTGCACTCCCTGGAGTCGCAGCAGCGCTGCTTCCTGCTGCGCTGCTGCAGGGGGTCCTCCACGCGCTGTTGCATGCGGGGCCTGAGCTGTCTGTACACCCGAGCAAAGGTGTGGGGTGCCGCAAGTGCAGCGGCCGCTGCTGCCCAGGGGTCCCATCAGCAGCAGAAAGCGAAGCCGCTGCTGCTGCTGCTGCTGCTGCTGCTCCTGCTGGCGCTGCTGCTGCTGCTGCTGCTTCCGTGCAGACAGTGGCCCTCCGTCCCTCCCACCAGGAATCCTCATGTGGAGATTCAGCTGTGCGTTGCTGTTGTTGTTGCTGCTGCTGCAGCTGGAGCTGCTGCAGCGGCTGCTGCAGCAGCAGCTGCTGCTGCTGCCGCTGCACTTCAGTCCACTCCACCTCCCCCGCAGCTGTTTGGGACCGTGGCGGTGGAAGCTGCAGGAATAGGTTTGTTGCAGCGCCGCCTTTGTGTGCCGCTGCTGCTGCTGCTGCTGCCGCTGCAGCAGCCGCTGCTACTTGCGGCTCTGCAGCAACTGATGCTGCAGGTGACAACCACGGCGTAGCACTGGCGCTCCGCGTTTCCACAGCTAGCTGAGGCCGGAGGTTGCTGCTGCTGCTGCTGCTGTTGCTGCTGCTGCTGCTGTTGCTGCTGCTGCTGCTGCTGCTCTCTGTCACCGTAGCGGCCTCCAACGCCGTTTTTGTTTCATGCCGGTCTGCAGGAGCTGCTGCTACTGTTGCCGTGGTTGCTTCTGTTTCTGTTGCTGCTGCTGTTGCTGCTGCTGCTGCTGCTGCTGCTCCCAGCGGCGTATCTGCACCCAGCGTGTCAGTTTCTGCAGCAGGAAGTGACACCGTGGTTTGGGGTGTCTGTACACCTAGCCGGCCGCGAACGGAGGGGCTGCTGCTGTCGCCGTACCTGCTGCTGCTGCTGCTGCTGCTGCTGCTGAGGGCAGGCCGTCCGTGCAGCAGCAGCAGCAGCCGGTGCTGCTGCTGCTGCTTGTCAGGCGCGCCTTCATCGCAGGAGACGCAGCGGCGCCTAGCAGCAGCAACAGACAGCAGCTGGTTGCTGCTGCCGCTGAAATCGTAGGAAGCCGCCCCGAGCTGCTGCAGCTGCTGCTGCTGCTGCTCCTGCAGCAGCGGCTGCTGCAGCAAACGGCAGCGCAGCGGCAGCGAGGGCCTCCGAGACCGACGGCAGGCGCTGTTTGCATGATGGGCGCTGCCGTGCAGCAGCTGAGGGGGCCCCTTTATCGAGATTGCTGCTGCTGCTGCTGCTGCTACGGGGTCTGTGGCATCGGGCCAGCGGCAGCTCAAAGGGGGGTGTTCTCTCTCTTGCTGTGGCAGCTGCAGCAGCAGCAGCTGCTGCTGCAGCTGCTGCTGCTTCTGGCTGTCAGAGGCAGTGACGACGCTGTACATCAGCTGGAGGTCCTTCTTTCTTATGAGGGGACTTGAGGCCTCCCCTTGCTGCTGCTGCTGCTGCTGCTGTTGCTGCTGCCGCTGCTGCTGCTGCCGCTGCTGCTGCTGCTGCCGCATGAACTGCTGCGGCAGCCACAGTTGCTGCCGCAGCGAAGGGCCTGCAGCGCCATTCTGTGCTGCTGCTTCGCTCTGAACAGGCGACGATCGCTGCCGCTGCTGCTGCTCCTTGTTCGGCAGCGGCAGCAGCTGCTGCTGCTGCTGCTTCGTGTAGGTTTCAGACGCAGCCTTCTGCAGCACGGGAGCTGCTGTGCTGCTAGCAGCCCTCCTAAGGCACTCGATGAAGCTGCTGGCTTCCTCGGGTGCTGCTTTGGCTGCTGCCGCGTCGCTGCTGCTGCTGGGGCTGCTGCAGCAAGCAGCAGCAACGGGACTGCAGCAGCAGCTCGCGTCTGCGCGCTGCAGGCAGTCGGGCGCAGAATAATAAGAATACAGAGACTCTGTCTCGTCGTCTGCTGCCCTCCAGTCTGGTCCTGCTGCTGCTGCTGCACCTGCAGCAGCTGCTGCACTGTCCGCCGCCGCCGCCGCAGCAGCAGCAGCAGCAACAGAAGCCGAAGCAGCAGCTGCCGATGCTGCTGAGGATGGCACTACTCCTTCTGTCAAATGTGGGCCCTCATCGCTGTGCCTCCCGTCAGACTGCACCTGCAGCAAAAGGTCGTCGGGTTGCTGCAGCGTGGCCGTGCTGCTGCTGTTGCTGCTGTTGCTGCTGCTGCATCCTGCTGCTGCTGCGCCGTACGCAGGGAAGATCCCTTCTGCTCCTTCGGATTCTTCTTTTACTACCATCTGGGGCCTGGTGCTTTGGCTCGTGCTGCTGCTGCTGCTGCTGCTGTGGCTGTTGTTGCTGCTGCTGTGGCTGCTGTTGCTGCTGCTGTTGCTGTGGCTGCTGTTGCTGCTGCTGCTGGCATCGTCTCTGTAGCGGCTGCCCCGAAAGCTCATACAGTTGGCGTTCACGCTGGTGCTGCCGGCGTTATTAACGCAGTTGCTGTTTCTCGTTTGGCCGCTGCTGCTGCTGCTGCTGCTAACGCAGCGGCATGAGGCCGCACGGCATAAATGGCTTTGCTGCGACACTTACAGAGACCGCAGGGGCCCCTTCAACAGATTCGCCGTCCTTGCGGCTGTTCTCATGGCTGCCGCTGCTGCTGCTGCTGCTGCCGCTGCTGTTGCTGCGGCCGCCGCTGCTGCAGCTGCTAGTGTGCAGGCCAGAGCCGCATGGACTGACACAAATCTATTTCACGTTGCTGCAGCAGCGTAGGCAGCAGTTTGCTGCGGCCGACTTCAGTGGCGGTGCGCCGGAGAGGGGCCAGCGGCAGTGGACCTGCTGCTGCTGCTGCTGCTGCTGCTGCTGCTGTTTTTATTATGCACGCCTTCCCCGTGCAGCGCGGAGCAATTTGAGGGAATAATTTTATTTCAAAGACAGAATTTTGGCTAAGAGGAAATTCCCTCCGCTAGTAAACATGCAGTCATGCCGAGTCACGCCGCTGCAGCCCCAGCGTAGGCTTGAACGCTCTGCTGCTACTGCTGCTGCTGCTGCTGCTGCTACTGTTGCTGCAGCAGCAGCAGCAGCAGCAGCCGCAGATGCTTTACAACGAAGCTGATACTCACTGGGTGCGTCTCTCTTTTTAGTAGCCAAGGACGCCTCACCTGGGCCCCGAAGCCAGTGCTCCAGGCCGTGGCAGCTGTGCCATGGCTGCTGCTGCTGCTGCTGCTGCAGTTACTGCTTCTGCCTTTGCTGCTGCAGCTCTTGCCCGAGGTAGTGTTATTTTTGCCCATTGAGGCCATCTCCGTCGGCAACGCAGCAGGCCAGTTGCAGCAGCAGCAACTGCAGTTCTCCTGCTGCTGCACCCGCAGAAGCAGCAGCAGCTGTAGGGGCACCGTAAACAGCAGCAGTAAACCGCAGCAGCAGCAGCATCCGCAGCAGCTTCACGGGCACAACCGTCAGGATTCGCAGCAGCAGCTTCATCGGCGCCGCCAACGGCAGCAGCAGCGCCGTAAGAGACACCACTAACAGCAGCAGCAGCAGCAGCAGCAGCAGCAGCAATGGAGGACTCGCCCTCCGCCCCTGGCCTGCCTGGCCACCCTCTGTCTGCCCCCATGGGCCCCCCTGAAGCGCCTTCGCACTCTTCGGACTTGCTGTCTCTGTGCAGCAGCGGCTCAGCAGCAGCAGCAGCAGCAGCAGCAGCAGCAGTACCCCCGAGCGACTCCGCAGCAGCTGCACCTCTGCCCGCCGTAGCCGCGCCCGCCGCGCCCTCTGCGCCCCCCGCGCCCCCCGCAGCAGCAGCAGCAGCAGCAGCAGCAGCAGCACGTCCCAGCCTGCTGAGCGCGAGGTACTTGGACTGCGGAGAACCTTTTCTCTTCCATGTCTCTTCTTTCTCGCTGCTGTGTCAGGGAAGAGCAGCAGCAAAAGGGGCCCCCCCGCAGTTCGTGCTGCCGGACGGGGCCATTTCTGTGGGGCTGCCGGTCTGCAGCATCAGGCCCCCGGGCGACGCCCTCAGCAGCAGCAGCAGCAGCAGCAGCAGCAGCAGTGGCGCAGGCGCAGCAGGTGCTTCGCTCGATAACGCCGCGCCGCAGTGTGAGCCTCCCGCTGCTGGTGCTGCTGCTACTACTGCTGCTGCTACTGCTGCTGCCGCTGCTGCTGCTGCACTATTTTTGTCTCGGGAAGGCTCCTCCCTGGGGCCTCAGCAGCAGCAGCAGCAGCTGCTGCTGCTGCTGCTGTCGCCTGATTTGCTTCTTTTTTCTCATTCGTCCTTTTCGTGTCTTCTCTCCGTTTTCTTTTGTTCTTTTCCCGTTCATTCCTCTTCAAGTGGTGAAACAACTGTCATCAATTATTTATTTATTTATTTATATTTATTTATTTATTTATATTTATTTATTTATTTATTTATTTATTTATTTATTTCCTTTTGTGCTTCTCAGCGGACTTCGAGCGCCTGAGTCAGCTGCACCACGGCCCAGTCATTGTCTATGCCACAAAACCAAGCCGTGGGGCATTGCTGCTGCCGCTGTTGCTGCTGCTGCTGCTGGTGTTGCTGCTGCTGGTCGTGCTGCTGCTGCTGCTGGTCCTGGTCCTGCTGCGACTGCTATTTTGGTCGTTGTGGCTGTCCTTGCTGCTGTTGCTGCTGCTTCGGCTGTTGCTGCTAATGCTGCTGCTGCTGCTTCTTTCCAGGACTGGCTCTTCGTGTTGCACTCCCTGTTGCATGTGCTGCTGTTGCTGCTGTTGCTGCTGCTGCTGCTGTTGCAGGAGATGCCCTGCGTTCTGCTGGGGGTATGTGGTGGTGGTCGGCGTGTCTTTTTGCTGCTGCGGGTCTTTGCCTCTTCGTGACACTGCTGCGGGGTAGGTGCAGCAGCAGCAGCCGCAGCAGCAGCAGCAGCTGTGTCTGTTCCCGGTGTCCCGCGTTTGCGCGCGTATCTGTCCACTCTGCACTTCATTTTCGACGGCAACTTAAATAATAAACTAAATCAATTTAATTAATTAATTAATTGATTAATTAAATTGATTTAATGGTTTTGCTGCTGCTGCAGGGCTCGCGGACCTGTCGCTGCGGTCGGGGCTGTGGGGCCCCGCGCAGCTGCGGCTGTCTTCGGGGTGTATATACACCTCGCTGTGTCTGCTGGACTTGTTTGTCATCTTCGCGCGTTTGCGGCAGAAGGCGGAGGCGCTGCGGCTGCTGCGCGTTGCTGCTTTTGCGCTGCTGCTGCTGCAGTTCTGCTTCGCCCTCGTCACGTGAGCAGCAGCAGCAGCAGCAGCGGCAGCAGCGGCGGCGGCGGCGGCGGCGCTGCGGCAGCAGCAAGTGCAGTGCACGCAGCAGCAGCAGCAGCGGTAGTTTAGGTGCAGCAGTAGAGGCAGGTGCTGCACTGCAGCGGTGGGGTTTCAGCGAGCTGCCGGGCGTTGTCGTGACGCTGCTGCTGCTGCTGCTGCTGCTGCTGTTGCTGTTGTTGCTGCTGCAGGATGCTGGACTTGCTGCTCTTTGCTTCCACTTTCTGTTTGCTGCTGGCCTTGACGCGTCTGGAGAGCCTCTGTACTTCCCACATCTTCTGCGTGTACCCCTAAAGGACACTTGCAGCAGCGGCAGCAGCAGCAGCAGAAGCAGCAGCAGCAGCAGCAGCAGAAGCAGCAGCAGCAGCAGCAGCAGAAGCAGCAGCAGCAGCAGCAGCAGCAGCAAGGGACTTAGGCTACGCTTTGCATTTCGGCGCCTCCAGGCTTCAAAAACGCATTTGTTTTCGTCGACAGTGGCAACGTGCTGCGACTTAACTGCTGCTGCTGCTGCTGCTGCTGCTGCAGTAGCCCGCACTTTCTTCAGATGCTCGCGGGTTGCTGCTGCCTGTGTAGCAGGTGCAGCAGCAGCAGGTGCAGCAGCAGAAGGTGCAGCAGCAGCAGCAGCAGGTGCAGCGTGCAGTTGCTGCTGCCGCAACAATTTTTTGGTGTTCATGTTTGCAGCCGCAGCAGTTGCTGCTGCTGCTTGGGGTGTACGTACACCCCAGGTCTTGCTGCAGTCGCTAGGGCTGTTTTTACTTTTCTGTTTTGCATAAATGAACAAATTTACTAATTTATTTATGTATTTATTTATTTATTTGTTTATTTATTGAAAAATATATTTGCATGCAAATGCATTTATTGTGTATCTACGGGAGTGCATGCACGCAGACTTCCACTACTGCGCAGACAGCTGAAGAGCCAATTTGCTGCTGAGGTGCATTTGTGCTGCGCTGCTGCTTGCTGCTGCTGCTCTTGCTGCGCTGCTGCTTGCTGCTGCTGCCCGTGCTGCGCCGCTGTTTGCTGCTGCTGCTTGGGGCCGGTGGCACGTGAGCAGCGGTCTGGACCACTGGGCCGCAGCAGCAGCTGCTGCTGCTGCTGCCGCAGGGCTCCGCCGCAGCAGCCAAATGGCCTCAGGCAGCGGCCAAAAGCAGCCAAGAGCAGCAGCAGCGCAGCAGCAGCTTAGGCCGCAGGCGTGGAGTGTACATACACCTCAAGTGCAGCAGCTGGCGCTAAAAAAGAGAAACCAAATTTAAATTTTATTTTTTGGATTCGCTAGAGGTTCCCTGCAGCGGCAAAAGCGTGCGAGGATGGCCCGGGAACCCTGGTGCTGCTGCTGCTGCTGCTGCTGCTGCAGCTGCTCGGGGGCCCGGGCCCCACAGCCTTCCGTCTCTGCGGGGGCCCCTGAGTTGCTGCTGCTTCTCTGAAGATATTAAAAATAAAATTCAGCAGCAGCTCGTAGTGACTTGCTGCTTCAGTTATATCTACACCGCTGCCTTGGGCGCTGCATGCATTGGCAGCAGCAGCAGCAGCTGTTGCAGCAGCAGCAACAGCCCGCCGAACTCCGCGTGCTCACAATATTGACAAGGCAATTTGTTTTTTGTTTAAGTTTCTCGTCGCTGCTGCTAAGAAGCAGCAGCAACAGCAGCGACAGCAGCAGCAGCAGCTGCTGCTACAGCACACAGGCAGACCCCATCCTCATGGCTTGACTGCCCGCCTCCCCTTCATTTTGTCACCATCATTTTCATTTGCTGCCTTCTTGCCATCTGCAGCAGCAGCAGCAGCAGAAGCAGCAGCTGCAGCAGCAGCAGCAGGAGAGTAGCAGCAGCTGCTGCAGCTGCTGCTGCAGCCACAGCAGCGGCACCCGCAGCAGCTGCAGCATCCGGGAAAGCGCTGGAAGCAGCAGCGAGTCGGAGACAGCAGCAGCAGCTGTCGCAGCAGCAGCAGCAGGCGCCGCATGCAGAAGCAGCAGCAGCTGCGGCAGAATTTTAGCTAGTAGTGAAAAGGATTGTTCGTCACCCGCAACCGCAGCAGCAGCAACAGCGTCAGAAGCAACAGCAGCAGCAGCCGCAGCACGAAGACTGCTTGCCGCAGCAGCAGCAGTCATCTGGTCAGCAGCAGCAGCAGCAGCGGTGTCCTTTGGACGCACGATTTAGCTCCCGCCGGAGCTACACTGCCAGCAGCAGCAGGAGCTTGCTGCTGCTGCTGCTGCTTGTGCTGCTGCTGCTGCTGCTGCTACGATGGACATCCAGCAGGTGTGCCTCAGCAGCGCCGTCAGCGGCTCTCTCGTCGCTTTACTTTGCACGCCTTTCGATGTTGTGAAGAACTACTGGCAGTACACGTCCGTGGCTTCTGCTGCTGCTGCTGCTGCTCCCGCTGCTGCTGCTGCTCCTGCTCCCGCTGCTGCTGCTGCTCCTGCTGCCGCCGCGTGGCGGTTCAACGCAGCAGCAGCGGCCGCGGCGCCCTGGCGGGAGCTGGCGAGCAGCAGCAGCAGCGGGGCCCCCAGCAGCAGCAGCAGCAGCAGCAGCAGGGGGGGCAGGAGCAGCAGCGTGAAGGTGGCGCTGAGCCTGTACCGCGCGAAGGGGCCCCTGGTGTTCTGGAGAGGAGTGGGCCCCGCCATTTGTGTTTTAGTTCCTTCAAATATAATTTTCTTTTCTCTTTATGAAAGAAGAGACCCCGAGGGTTCTGCTGCTGCTGCTGGCGTTGCTGCTCGCACTGCAGCAGTGGTGTGCACGGCGCCCGTGGAGCTGGTGCGCACGCAGCTGCAGGCCCGCTGCTGCGCCCCCGCCCCCTGCAGCAGCAGCAGCAGCAGCAGCAGCAGGGGGCCCCGCAGCGCGGCGCTCGCGCTGCTGCAGCAAACCCTCAAGGCCGAGGGCCTCGGGGGCCTCTTCAAAGGAGTCCTCCCCACAGTAATTCGAGACGCTCCTTTCTCTGCTTTCTACTGGCCCCTCACTGCTGCCACTTCCGAGGCCCTCACGCGCCTCTTCAGCAGCAGCAGCAGCAGCAGCAGCAGCAGCAGCAGCGCTGCGCAGGAGTTCAGGGACAGGGCCCTCATTCCCTTCCTCTCGGGGGCCTCTTCAGCAGCAGTTGCTTGTGTCCTCACCCACCCCTTTGATGTCCTCAAGACCCGCATCCAGTCTGCGCAAATGGGGCCCCCGGGGGCCCCCCCGGGGGCCCCCCCGGGGGGCCCCCGGGGGGCCTCCATCGGGGGAGCCCCGCCCCGGGGGGGCCCCCAGGCCCCGGGGGGGGCCCCCAAGGGGGGCCCCCAGCCGGGGGGGCCCCTCGGGGGCCCCCAGGGCCTGTGGTGGGGCCTGCGAGCAGCAGCAGCAGAAGTCTACAGGGCCCAGGGAGTGCGGGGCTTCAGTGTGGGGCTGCTGCCGCGGCTGCTGAAGATTGTACCCTCTTGTGCTGTGCTGCTGGCCACTTACGAGGCCACGAAGGCGCTGTGGGGGTCTTCGCTGCTGGACCAGACCTGAGCTGCTGCTGCTGCTGCTGCTGCTGCTGCTGCGGTGGCGCGGCCGGGCTGCTGCAGCAGCAGCAGCGGCGAAGGCCGCACGCAGGCATTTAGGGGCAGCTACGAGCTGCATACGCGGCGCGCTGCTGCAGCAGCGCAGCGCGCCGCCGCTAATACCGGCTGCTGCTGCTGCTGCTGCGGCGAGCTGCAACAGCAGCTGCAGCAACGGGCTGCTGCAGCAGCAACGGGCTGCTGCAGCAGCGGCAATGTGCTCTTGACTCTTACGTAGCGCGCTTTAGTCTCCTCTGTCAACCACCGAACCAACGGCCAATTCCCAAGTTGCCTAGCTAGCTAGCCAACAAGCTAGCTAGCTAGCTGGCTAGCTGGCTAGCTAGCCGACCAACTAGCCAGCCATCTAGCTAGCTAGCTAGCTAGCTAGCTAGCTAAGTGGCTAGGTAGGTAGCTGCCTAGCTAGGTAGTTAGGTAGCTAGCCAGCTAGCCAGTCAGCTATCCAACTAGCTAGCTGGCCACCAAATTGGCCAGCTAGCTAGCTGAGACACAGCAGCTAGCTAGCTAGCTAGCTAGCTAGCTAGCTAGCTACAGTCATGCATAACTTACCCAGCTAGCTGGCTACCTGCGCACGTGCGAAGATATAGCTAGCTGGGGGCTAGCGAGCTGGCTAGCTGAGAGCCAGCTAGCTGGCCAGCTGGGACCTAGCTAGCTAGCTGGCTGGGCCATTGGCCGTCTAGCTAGCTAGCTACGCCACTAGCCGCCCAGCAAGCTAACCTGCTGGCTAGCTGGCTGGCTAGCTAGCTGGCTAGCTAGCTGGCCAGCTAGCTGGCTAGCTAGGCTATTAAATCCCCGGCTAGCTAGCCGCTAGCTAGAAGGTTAGCTGGGGGGTAGTCAGCTAGCTAAGCGGCTAATGAATGGCCTAGCTAGCTAGCTAGCTAGCTAGCTAGCTGCTTGTTGCAACAAAGTGAAAAATCAAACACCTGAATTGAATTAAGTCGAGACACTGCAGCCTCAAATCGACCCTCGGCCTGGCCCCGGCAAAGCAGCAGCAGCAGCACTGCTGCTGCTGCTGCAGCAGCAGCACTTCTGCGGCTGCTGCAGCAGCAGCACTTCTGCTGCTGCAGCAGCAGCCAGAGGCGCACACAGGATAGCCGGCATCCGTGCCTCTGTCGCTGCGCATTGCCTGTGACACTACAGCAGCACCTGCAGCAGCAGCACCTGCAGCAGCAGCACCTGCAGCAGCAGCTCTTGCTGCTGCTGCTGCTGCTGCTGCTCGCTCTACCTTACGTCCATCCCTCTTCTACGGGGAGTTCGCCCACCCCAGCTGCTGCTGCTGCTGCTGCTGCTGTAGCATCTGCCTCAGGGCAATGTCTTGGCGCCACCGGGAAGCATCTGCTGCTCCCCAGAGGCCCAGCGGCGGCAGCAGCAGCTGCTGCATGCGCTGCCGCTGCTGCTTCTCTCTGTCTTCTGCTGCAGCAGCAGCGGGCCCCACGGGGTCGTCGTACATCGTGGGCTGCGGCGCGGGCGCCTCCTTCTGCAGCAAGTCCCCGCTGCTGCTGCTGCTGCTGCTGCTGAGGGGGCCCCCCAGGGAGAGCATGATGAGGGCCCCGTCGCTGAGTACCTTGGCAGCAGAAGCAAGGGCCTCTTCTGCTGCTGCATGCTCGGCAAGTCCTGCTGCTTCGAGCTGCTGCCTGCAGTAGCTTTCAACTGCAGCAGCAACGTCGCGGTGTGCTGCTGCTCTTGCTGCTCGCGGCTGCTCTGCTGCTGCCAGCAGCAAAGGCCTCCACTGCGAGGCCCACAGCAGCGGCACTTGGGCCATAATGCGGGCCACGAGGCCCTCGGGTCCGGGGCCCTCGAGTTCTGCTGGGGGGGGCCCCCGGGGGCCCCCCCCGCGGGGTGGGGGGCCCCCCTTGAAGGGGGGGCCCCCCTTGAAGGGGGCCCCCCGCGGGGACCCGGGGGGCCCCCGCCGCCGGCCCGCAGCCTGAGCTGCAGCGGGGAAGGTCCCCCGCCGCTGCTGCTGCTGCAGCTGCTGCAGCTGCTGCAGCTGCTGCTGCTGCAGGCTGTCCACCCGCGCCACGGGCACTGGGCCCGCCGAGGGCACTGCTGCTGCTTGCTGCAGCAGCAGCAGCAGCAGCAGGGGCCCGGTCAGCCAGCAGCAGACCATATTACCCTGCGAAGCAACTGCCGAGAGACTTCAAGTCCCCGGCCACGGCTCCGCTGACTTCCCTCCTCCGACTCACCTGCTGCTGCTGCTGCTGTAGCTGCTGCCGCTGTTTCTTTTACAGCAGCTATGCTGTAGGAGCCGCAACTGGGCAGCTGGTGCTGCTGCAGCTTCTGCAGCAGAGGGAGCGGATAGAAGGCGGTCTGTCTTGTGTGGCTCGATGCAGGGCTGCCGCAGCTGCTGCAGCTGCTGCAGCTGCTGCAGCTGCTGCAGCTGCAGCAGCAGCAGCAGCAGCAGGCTTTGGAGCCAGTGGTTAGGGTGAGGGCAGTTTCTGCAGTTGGGCGCAGCAAGCAGCAGCGCGGGGTGTTCGGGTTTCTGTTGTCCTTCTACGGGAGCGGGAGCACTCGCCGCAGCAGCCGCAGCCGCAGCCGCAGCAGCAGCAGCAGCAGCAGCAGCAGCGCAGCGCGAGCTGCAGCAGCAGCAGCCGGGGAGAAGCCCGGTTTGGGGGTTGCTGAAGAAGCTGCTGGGAGTCAAAGAGCAGCAAAAAGGGCGGCGGAGTTGAAGGTTAATGAAGGGGAGTTGATCTGCTGCTGCTGCTGCTGGAGGTGGGAGAGGAGGGTCCGGGCGGTGGGTGGCGCAGGGGCTGCTGCAGCAGCAGCAGCAGCAGCTGCTGCTGCTGCTTCGGGTGCTTCTGCCTGGGTTGCTGCTGCTGCGTATGCGTCGGCGGTTGCTGCGCGTCTGTAGAACAAATTGAAGGAGGGTTTGAAAGTTTAAAAAGGAAGTATTGGTGTCCCTTGGGAGGAGGGAGTGGAGAAGTTGGGGTAGTTTGTGCAGCAGCAGCGCAGCAGCAGCGCACTAAGACTGCAGCAGCGGCTGCTGCAGCAGCGGCGCAGGGGCGGTGCGTCGGGGGCAGCAGCAGCAGCGGTTGCATTTGGAGTTTTTGTGTTTATTTTTGAATAGGATTTAGAAAAGGGGGGTTTTTTGGGGTCCAGTTGGTTGGTTGGTTGGAGCAGCAGGAGGGTCTGCAGCAGCAGCAGTTGGGGAGCTGCTGGGGGCGTTCGGTCGCGTGCGCAGCCGCAGCAGCTGCAGCCGCCTCCGCGGCCGCAGCAGGAGCAGCAGCAGGAGGGGCAGGGGCAGCGGCAGCAGCAGCCGGGGGGCGCGTTTGGCTGTCGTCGGCTCTGGGCCGCCTTGGGGGCGGCAGCAGCGGCGCAGCAGGAGCGCAGCAGGAGCGCAGCAGGAGCTTAGCAGCGGCGGGCGAGCAGCAGGAGTGCACTGGGTGTTTGAGCGCAGCAGGGGGAGCCCGTGGGCGGTTTGCTGCTGCAGCCGTGGCGGACTGCTTGCTGCTGCAGCAGCAGGGCGGGTCTGCTGGGCGTCGGGCGAGGCCCATGAAGAGCGGCACTGCAGCGCGGCGCAGCGGAGCACACCAGACCAGCAGCAGCAGCAGAAGCAGCAGCAGCGGGGGCGGGGCGGCGTGAGGATGGGAGCGTGCAAGAGCAAGTCGCGGGCGAAGCGCCCGGAGGAGGCTGCGGCCGCTGCAGGAGCAGCAGCAGAAGGAGCAGCAGGAGAAGGAGCAGCAGGAGAAGGAGCAGGAGGAGGAGGAGGTTGGGTGTCGCGGGAAGAAGAGGCGTCGTCGCCGGCGGGCTCCGCGGCGCGCTCCGGAGCAGCAGCGGGGGAGTCCCGCAGCAGCAGCACCGCGTCGCCCTCCGCCTCCGCCTCCGCCTCCGGAGCAGCAGCGCCCGGAGGGGCGGCCCCGGCGGGCGCGGGCGACGCGGAGCCGGCCCGAAGCCCGTCCGGCGCAGCAGCAGCAGCAGCAGCAGCAGCAGCAGCAGCAGCAGGAGCAGCAGGAGCAGCAGCGGGCAACGCGGGGGAGGAGCTGGTGGCGCGGCCGCTGATAACGCTCTCGAACGGCGTGACCTACGCGGGCCAGTGGCTGGGCAGCCTGAAGCACGGCTACGGCGTGCAGGAGTGGCCCGACGGCGCGCGGTACGTGGGGGAGTGGGCGTTCGGGTGCGCAGAGGGCCACGGCGTGTTCACGCACGCGGACGGAGACTTCTACGACGGAGAGTGGCGGGGAGACAAGGCGAACGGGTTCGGAGTGTACAGACACGCGGACGGGAGCGAGTACCGCGGGGGCTGGAAGGAGGACAAGAAGCACGGCGTCGCTCGCGAGCGGTGGGCGGACGGGTCGCACTTCGAGGGCGTCTACTGCGAGGGCAAGAAGCAGGGCAAGGGCACCTTCACGTGGCCGGAGGGCTCGCGCTACTCCGGCGAGTTCCGCGACAACGAAATCCACGGCGACGGCAAGTACGTCTGGGCCGACGGCCGCAGCTACTGCGGCCAGTGGCGCCAAAACCGCATGCACGGCGCCGGCGCCTTCACCTGGCCCGACGGCCGCAAGTACGTTGGCCAGTACTTCGCCGACAAGAAGGACGGCGCCGGCGCTTTTTTTTGGCCCGACGGCCGCGCCTTCGAGGGGCGCTGGCGCCGCGGCCGCCAGCACGGGCTCGGCCGTTTCACGGCGCGCACTGGCGAGGCCAGGCGCGGCCTCTGGCGCGACGGCCGCCGCCTGGCTTGGCTCGAGGACGCGCAGCAGCTGCAGCGCCTCCGCGCCGCCCACCCCGAGCTCTTCGCCGACGCCGACGCTGCGCAGCAGCCGCAGCAGCAGCAGCCGCAGCAGCAGCAGCAGCTGGAGCAGCTGGAGCAGCTGGAGCAGCTGGAGCAGCTGGAGCCGGGGGCGGGGGCGGGGGCGGAGGGCCGCCGCAGTGGCGACGCCAGTGGTGACGCCGACGATAACGCCGGCAGCAGCAGCAGGCAGGAAGCTGCAGCGGCAGCTGTTGCGGGGTGAGGACGCGCGGAGCGGAGGCGTGTCCTCCCGCTGCTGCTGCTGCTGTTGGCTGCTGCTCTCGTGGAGCGAGGAGCGTCTTGGTGTTTGTTTCGGGGGCGGGCCGTTTGCCGCGGCGAGGACTCTTCTGCTCCGTCCACGCTTCTTCTTTTAGCTTGCTGCTGCTGCTGCGGGAGGGACAATGACCAACGAGCAAGTGCTTCCCACCCCTGCTCCAGCAGCAGCAAGAACGCCAGCAGCAGCAAGAGCAGCACCACCTGATGTACAGCACTGCAGGGGATTCTTTATCCGCTTAGCTTCTTCTTCGTGCCAAGTGGTGCAGACCAGCAGCAGCAGGGCGAGAGCACGGGTGCTGCTGCTGCTGGAAGAACAGTAGTCGCGAAGATCACTGCGCGCGTGTGTGCTGGTGCTGCAGCAGCAAAAACAGCAGCACCAGCAGCAGCAGCAGCAGCAGCAACACGCTCTTCCCCTACCTAGGCCGGTGCTGCTGCAGCAGACGCGAAAGTGTCGCTTACGCGCTGCTGCAACAGAGGGCTGTGTGGCCCAACAATAGTAGCTGCTGCATGGGCTGCAGCAGCAGCAGCAGCGGCAGCAGCAGCAGACCCTTTTTGGCTGCTGCTGCAGCACCCGCTGCTGCTCCCCGAGTGTACAGACAGCGCCTTCGGGGGCCCAAGGCTGCTAAGAAAAGCATAAAGCCCTTTTAGGGTTTATTACCAGGGACTTATTCAAATATACATTCTCAAATATAAATTAATATCATTATTCCATTTATTATTATTATTATTTATTATTATTATTATTGTTGTTGTTGTTGTTATTGTTGTGCTGAAATGAAAACAGCAAAGGGCCCCAGGGGCTGCGCGCATGCGCCAGGTGTACAGACAGCTTTTTTTGTTATCGAAGAAAAAGCCAAAAGGAACAGAAATGCAAATCTTTGCTGTCTGTTTTCACTTAAAGTCATTTTATTTAATTTAATTAATTTTATTCCAATTTAATTCATCTTACTTCAGTTATCCTCGTCAATTTTCATTTCTATTCCTTTTGCTTCTTCTGATTTTCTTGTTCTGCTGCCGTGCTGCGCATGCAGCCTGCATGCAAGCGATTTTCCGGGCCTCTTCACTTACAAATTAATTTATTTATTTATTTATTTATTAATATGTTTTATTGTATTTATTTAAATACAACTGTGGGCCCCAATTGTCTCGCAAGTCGTTCAAATCTATTTGCCCCTGCGGTGTATCGACAGGGGCCCCTGCGCGCAGCAGTACATACACCCCAACCCGCAGCTGTCTTCGCCACAAAACGCAGTGATAGATAGCAGCAGCAGCAGCAGCAGCAGCAGCAGCACGAGAAGCAGCACCGGTTTGAAGCACAGCAAGTGCAGCAGCAGCAACAATCGCAGCAAATGCAGCAACACCAACAATCGCAGCAAACGCAGCGGCAGTAACAATTGCAGCAAACACAGCAGCAGCAGACGCAGCTGCAGCAGCAGCTATAGGTGAATGTGAGATTTGCCATCTGGGTCTGCAGAGGCTGTCTGCGGTGTATGTACATCTCACGTTTACGCTGTGGAAGGTATGGAGTGTATGTACACCTAAATAGATAAAACACGAGCCAAATTGCATGCAATGTATTCAAATTAATTACACAAAATATTTTTAAAAATATTTGTGCTGCTGAGAGTCTTTTTATGTGAGAAAAAGGCTAGGTATGGAGTGTATATACACCTAAATACAGTCACTACACACCAAATCCCATAGAATATACATGGGTTTAGGGTTTAGGGTTTAGGGTTTAGGGTTTGGGTCTGCAGTAGAGAGAGGCGGTACTTTAAAGACGCTTCCCCGAGATGTCCTGCGAGCTCTAGGGTTTAGGGTTTAGGGTTTAGGGTTTGGAGTCTAGGGTTTAGCATTTGCGGATGCAGGAAGCCTCTAGCAATGTGGTTCCTCCGGCTAGCCGCAGCAGCCAACTGCAGCAGCTAGCTGCAGCCAGCTGCAGCAGCAAGCCACAGCTGCTGCAGCTAGCTGCAACAGCTAGCCGCAGTGGCTAGCTGCAGCTAGCTATTATCGTCACTTTGTGCTGCCATCGCCTTAGGCAGCATCTGCCCAGGCCTTAATTATATGAGCAGCAGCAGCAACAGCAGCAGCAATAGCAGCAGCAATAGCAGCAGCAATAGCAGCAGCAATAGCAGCAGCAATAGCAGCAGCCACAATGAAGGAAGCAACGGAGCTCGCCGTCTTTCCTTTGGCGGCCGCCGAAGTCTTTTCATGTCTACTATAAATATAAATAAAATATATTTATTTATATTTATATTTATTTCTTTCTATTTATCCGTAGTTTTGCATGCTCATTAAATATACATTCTTGGATGTACAGGTGTATCTACAACAGATACAAATCTTTGGAGTGTCTATACACATATAAATGCATGTACATGTACAGATTTAAACTTTAAAACGTGCACGAATTTTTATATCTCTAAATAATTATAATATTTACAAACAAAATATGCATTTACTCATATTCCTAATGTACATAAATGCAATTGTCTGCAAGGATGCATCCAGCAGGCGTGTACCTTCAGGTGTACATACACCCCGCGCCCTTCAACTATAAGTCGAGCTGCTGCCGCGCCTTCTGCTTGTTGAATTGACATTTTTTAATTTTAAAATGAAAACATTTTAATTACTTAATTAAAGAATGAAAAAGAATTGAAAATAAAGCTCCTGTTCCCTCTGCAGCCTCGGGGGCCCCCGCCGCCGAGAGGCCCCAGAGGGGCCCCAGGCGCCTGTGTTGCTGCTTCTGTGCTCTTTGGAGCTCTTAGAAGTATTTAAATGAATTAAAATATAAATTAATTTCTCCTTTTTATTTTAATTCTTATTTCTTGCTGCTGCATGCCAGCAGCAAGATGCTGGACTCGCTGCTGCGCGGCTGCTGCCCCAGAGCCAATTCCGGTGTACGTACTCTCCACCTTTTGAACATCAAAAATAAAAAATTTTCTTCTCTCCCAAAAACTTTCCAAATCCACAAAAGCGCAGCAGCTGCGCGCTGCGGGGCCCCCGTCGGCAGCGCCTCCGCAGCAGCAGCAGCAGCAGCGAGCCCAGCAGCAGCAGCTGCTGCTGTGCCAACCTGGTCACTTGAAAGGCCCTTGCCCTCTTCCATCAGAGCAGCATGGGCCCCTTCTAGCCGCCCCAGGGTCCCCCCCAAGGGAGGTCTTCGCGTAGAGGGGGCCCCCCAGGGGGCCCCCCCGGGGACCCCCCGGGGGGCCCCCCTGGTTGCCCGCTTGGGGCCTCTTCCCTTGTGGGGGCCCCTGGGTGCTTCCCCAGGACTTCTCTCGGGACTAGGTGCTCCTTTATGTGCCCCCTTTGGGGCCTGCCCGGGCCCCTCTGAAAGCTGCCTTAGCCGCCCCTCGGCCCCCCCCCAGGGGGCCCCCCCGGTGCCCCCCCAGGGGCCCCCCAGGGGCCCCCCCGTGGGCGCCCGCGCTCGTGGGTCCCCCTTAAAGCCGCCTGTGGGGGCCCCCGCGGGGCGCCCTCTGGGGGCCCCCCTGGGGGGGCGCCCTCTGGGGGCCCCCCTGGGGGCCCGCCCGGGGGCCCCCCGGGGGCCCCCCCTGGGGGCCCCGGCGAGGGGGTGGCGCTGGGAGTTTCGGGGGTTTTCAGGGTACTACACGCCGAAGGTGCTGTGGCGGCGGAACCGGCCGCCGCCGCTGCTGCAGACCGGCGAGGGGCCCCCGGGGGCCCCCGGGGCTTCGAGTGGGGGCCCCCGTGCTGCGTTCACGCTAGCGAAGCAGCAGCGGCTGCTGGAGCAGCAGGCGCGGGAGGGCCTGAGCAGCAGCAGCAGCAGCAGCAGGAGGGGGGGGCTGCTGTTTGGGGGCCGGCGGGTGCAGCAGCTGGGGCGGCGGCGGGTGCAGCAGGGGGGCCGGAACTGCAGCGGGCAAATAACTGTGCGGCACCGGGGGGGGCAGCAGCAGCAGCAGCAGCAGCTGCTGCAGGTGGACTGGCTGCGGGCGCGGCGGGGAGTGTGGGGCACGGTGCTGCGGCTGGAGCGGGAGCCGTGCCGCGGGGGCCGCGCAGCAGCAGCAGCAGCAGCGCTGCTGCAGCAGGACGACGGGGCGCTGTGCTACGTGCCCGCTGCTGCTGCTGCTCGCCCGGGGGACCGTTTGCTGGCAGCAGAACACGCGCCGCTGCTGCCCGGCTGCTGCTTGCCGCTGCAGCAGCTGCCGCCGGGCTCCATAGTCTTTGCTGTTGAGCTGCAGCCGGGCTGTGGGGCCCAGCTAGCCAGGGCCCCCGGGGCCTTCTGCACTGTTCTTTCCAAAGACCCTTTTGCTGCTCTGTTGCGGCTGCCGTCTGGCGAGCTGCGGCGGCTGCCGCTGCGCTGCTGGGCCACGGTGGGGCAGGCCATGCAGCCGGGGGCGGCGGCGCGGGGCCCCCGGGGGCCCCCCGGGGGCCCCCGCGCCGCGGGGCCCCCGGGGCCGCGAAAAGACCCCCCCTCCTGGGGAAGGCGGGGGCCGCTCGCTGGAGAGGCCGCAGACCCGCCGTCAGGGGCAAAGCCATGCATGCAGCCAAACACCCCCACGGGGGCGGCACTAGTCAGAAGAAAGTGGGGAGGGCCCCCGTGTCGCTGTGGGGCGTGTTGCGGGGAGGGTTTAAAACCCGCAGCAAACACAAACCCTCGCCGGGGGTGCTGCAGCGCCGGCGCAGCAAGCGCCTCGCCAGGCTCTTCGGCGCCTTCTGAGCCGCCTGCTGCTGCTGCTGCTGCTGCTGCGGGGAGCGGAGCAGCAGCGGGGGCCGGTGCAGCGGGAGCTGCTGCTGCTGCTGGGAGAGAACCAGCAATGACGAAGGGCCCTTGAGCCGGTGCAGCGCTTTCGGCGCGGCTCCTGGGGTTTAGGGTTTTGGGGCTTTAGGGTCTAGGGTTTACGGCTTGGGGTTTGGAGCGCGGAGGCAGAGGGTAGGCCAGAGAAACAAATAAGCCAATAAGCCACATTCTTCAGGGTTTCGCGCCTAGGGTTTGGCGTTTAGGGTTTAGCGTTTAGGCCAGAGGAGTGCTGAACAGCAGCAAAGCAATTAAATTAAAGAGAAGAGAGGGGCGTTGGAGATGCAAGAGACAAAGGGAGACAAAACCCTGGGGCAGCAGCAGCAGCAGCAACAGCAACAGCAACAGCAGCAGCAGCAACGGCAACAGCAGGAGCAGCGAGGGAGCAGCGAGACAGCAACTTGGTAAAGTCCTACCAAACCGCTCCCATAGACAGATGCCAGTCTATTGCTTGACTGGCTAGCCATGTAGCTAGCTAGCCATATAGCTAGCTAGCCACACAGCTGACTAACCATATGGCTAGCTAGCCATATAGCTGGCTACCCATATACCTAGCTAGCTAGCTAGCCGTATACCTACCTAGCCATATGGCTTGCTAGCCACACAGCTAGCTAGCCATGTAGCTAGCTAGCCATGCAGCTACCTAGCGACGCAGCTGGCTAGCCATCTGGCTAGCTAGCCGGCCCTGACTGGCTAGCTGGCTGGCGGTGCGCTGCAGCAAACGGCCAAACGGCCTATAAGTGCAGCAGAAGCAGTTTTGCTGCTTCTCGGCCCATTTTGTCTTCTTTTTCGATCTTTTTTTCTTTTTGTTTCTTTTCATCTTCCTTTATCTTCTTTTGTCTTCCTCTATCTTCTTTGTCGTTTTTTGTCTATTTTTGTCTATTTCTGTTTCTTTTTGTCTCTTTTCTCTTCCTCTTTTTGCGCATTTTCCCCTTCAGCAGCTCTGCTGCCTCTCTACGCCCTTTTGTCTTGCCGGCGCGGCGGCGCCGAAGGCTCCCCCGTCCGCCGCAGCAGCAGCAGCAGCAGCAGCAGCAGCAACAGCAGCAGCAACAGCAGCAGCAGCAGAAGCCGCCACACACAGCTCCAGGCGCTTCGCGCCAGAGAAGTCCAGCCTAGCGCCAAGGGCCAGCGCGGCGCCGCGGCGGGCGGACTTGGTTTTGAATTCGTTTTTTTAAAGAGCAAAAGAGAAAAGAAAAGAATTTTGGAGTTAAATAAATAAAAAGAGAAGTTTTAATTTGTTTGGAGGCGCTGCTGCAGCTCGTTTCGCTAGCGAGCTGCTGCAGCCTAGTGGTGGCGGGGAAGGCCGCGGGCGCCGGCGGCGGCGCTGCACCTGCGCAGCAGCTGGCCGCAATTGACCCTTTAAAATGATTCAAATTAATTTTAAAAGATTAAAAACATTGAATTAAAGAAGAAAAGCGCGAAAGAAGCTCTGGAGGCGACCACGGACAGCAGCAGCAACGCAGCCGAAGGCGCGGCACCCGGCTATGGCCACCGTGGCGGCTGCGACTGGCTGCCTCTGTCGCTGGCCAGGAGGCCCCAAAGGCTCTTTAAAATTGTTTATCTCTTTTTATAATTGTTTATCTCTTTTTTCTGCATTATATTTTTTCTTTTTAACCGCAAAAACCCCCGGAAATTCCCCTCTTCCGTCCCCAGGCCGCGCCGCCGCAGCACCGAGTCCTTCGGCCGCCACCGCTTGCTGCTGCCGTCGCAGGGCCTCAGGCGCTCCAGGCAGCTCCAGAGTTTCCTTTTGAATTGTTTTTATTAAAAGGGATTTAAATGCCTCCGATTTGCAGCAGCAGCAGCAGCAGCAGCAGCCGCGACCGCCGTGTGTTGATGGTCCGCCGTGGCTGGCGGGCAAGCCGTCTTCCCACCGCCCCAGCAGCAGCAGCAGCAGCAGCAGCAGCAGCAGCAAAAGCTGCATCACTGTAGAGAGCTCTAAGCTTCGGACCCTGTAGATCCGGGCCTCCCCGGAGGCCTCATCAGTGGCCGCAGGACCCCGAACGCCGCCGTGTGTCTTACTGTTGCTGCTGCTCCTGCTACTGCTTTTGCTGCTGCTGCTGCTCTTCTCTTTGAAACCCTTCATCCCCAAGAAGGCTGCTGCTTAGCTGCTGCGGCTGCTGCAGCTGCCGCAGCAGCTGATGCAGCCGCGCCCAAACAGCCAGCAGCAGCAAGCCACCAACATGCGGTGCCAGCCTCCAGCGAGGCAGCTGCTGCTGCAGCAGCAGCAGATGCTGCAGCAGCAGCAAATTCAGCAGCAGAACCTGCAGCAGCAAGGGTCACACATGGTGGTGCCGCGGCAGCATTTCATCAACAGTCAGCAATACCCCGCGTACAACAGGCTTCAGCAGCAGCAGCAGCAACAGCAGCAGCAGCAGATGTACCAGCAGCAGCATCAGCAGCAAGAAGGAATGTACAGCCCCTCAGGCGCTGTTTTGATGCCCCTCTCTCCTAGGGGAGCAGGCATGAGCTGGCAGGATAAGTGGCAGCAGCAACAGCAGCAGCTGTTGGCGATGCAGCAGCAGCAGCACGTGCAGCAGCAGCAGCACGTGCAGCAGCAGCAGCACGTGCAGCAGCAGCAGCACGTGCAGCAGCAGCAGCAGCACATGTACCAGCAGCCTGCACCGCAAAGTCCCTACACGAAGCACCAGCTGTACCCGCAGCAGCTTCCCCACGACTATCAGCAGCAGCAGCCGCTGGGTCTGCTGGCAGCGCAGCAGCAGCAGCAGCAGCAGCTGCTGCTGCTGCAGCAGCAGCAAACCCACGAGATCCGCCACCGCAGCGACTGCTTCCCCTCTGCTTCTGGGGACTCCAACTACAGACACTGCAGCGACCCGCAGCGGCAAAGGGGGCCCCCTTTTGAGGGCCCCCTGAGGGGCCCCAACACCACCGTCGAAAGCCTCCAAAGGCGAATCGAGTGAGTCTTTTGCTGCTGCTGCTGCTGCTGCAGTAGCCGTTACAGGTGCTGCTGCAGCTGCTGCAGTTGACGTTACCGGTGCTGCTGCTGCTGCTGTAGTTGCCGTTGCCGGTGCTGCTGCTGCTATATTTGCCGTTACCGCTGCTGCTGCTGCTGCTGCCGTAGTTTCCGTTACCGGTGCTGCTGCTGTTGCTGTAGTTTCCGTTATCAGTGCTGCTGCTGCTGCTGCTGTAGTTGCCGGTACCGATGCTGCCGCTGCTGCTGCTATAGTTTTCATTATCGGTGTTGCTACTACTGCTACTGCAGTTGCCGTTACCGGTGCTGCTGCTGCTGTTGCTATAGTTGCCGTTACCGGTGCTGCTGCTGCTGCTGCTGCATTTGCCGTTGCTGCTGCTGCTTCTGCTGTTGCCGCTGCTACATGTCAGCTGGCGGTGCTGCCGCTGTCCAGCGGCTTCGCCGCTGCCTCTGATCTGCTGCTGCTGCTTCTTATCTGCTGCTGCTGCTGCTGCTGCTGTTGGGTGTTCAGGGCTGTGTCGGCGCAGGCAGAGGCCCTGAGGGCTTCACTTGCTGCCGAGGCGCTGCAGGGCCGCAGCAACCCAGAAGAGTGGAGTTTGGTGCTGCAGCAGGAGGAGTTTGTTTGTCTGATGCAGCAGGAGCAGCAGCTGCTGCTGGAAATTCAGCAGCAGCAGCAGCATCAGCAGCAGCAGGCGCTGCACGTGCAGCAGCAGCACAAGCAGCAGCAAGAGCTCCGCGGCGACGGAGCTTCGGCTCGCACTCGAGCCAAATCTCACGTAACAACAGGTACGCAGCAGCAGCAGCAGCAGCAGCAGTCGCAGCAGCAAATAGACAAGGTGCTGCTGCACACTCACATAAGCCCACAAAGCAGCAGAAGCATCATACCCACTGCTTCTGCTGCAGTTGCTGCTGCTGCGTCTTCTACAGGAAGAGCCGCCACAAAGTCTGGGCGTGATTCACCGCTTCGAAGAAGTTCAGCTGCTGCCTGCAGCAGCAGCAGCGCAGCAGCAGCAATTGATGATGTCGATGACAGGAAATGGCACTCGCATGCAAGCAGAAAGAACCGCAGCAGCAGCAGCAGCAGCAGCAGCGGAACAGCAGAACGGGAAGGCTCCGATGCGCGGACTCCCGCGAGTCGCGAGCAGCAGCTGGAGCAGCAGCAGCAGGACCTGCTGCAGCAGCCGCTGCAGCAGCTGCGAAGCCTGCGCAGCAAAGGGCAGCAGCAGCCTTCACGGTCTATCTCGAGCACGTTGGGTGCAGCAGCAGCAAGGAGTCCTGCTGCTGCTTCTCCCCAGCAGCAACAGCAGCGAAAGCCAGTAGCCGCAAGGACCCGCAGCGCTGCTGCTTCTGCTGCTGCCACACCTTCAGCTGCTGCTGCTGCTGCTCCTTCTCGCGCTGTGTCTCGCAAGATAGCAGGCAGCCGCAGGCCGCTGCCCAGGACAGCAGCAGCAGCAGGGTCTGCTGCTGCTGCTGCATCTAAGAGCTCATCTTTTAGCAACAGCAACCGGGCCGGAAGACAAGCTGCAGCAGCAGCTGCTGCTGCTGCTACCCGGCCCTGCAGCAACACCAATCGCAGCAGCTGCAGGCCCTCGCTGTGGCGCGTCAGCAGCACTGCAGCACTGCAGTCAGAAGCGGCAGCAGCAGCAGCAGCACCTTGGAGCAGCAGCAGCAGCGACGCCGATGAGACACCTACAGCTGCTCGGCCCCTCCGCAAACAGAGCGGCCTCCCCCGTCCAAAGCCATCAGCAGCAGCAGCAGCAGCAGCAGCAGCAGACAAAAGCAGCAGCAGCAGCAGCAGCGGAAAGGCCAGCACCAGCACCGCAGAAGGTGCAGACACCTCAAGCCAGAGCACTCAGCAGCAGCAGCTTTCTGGCGAAGAGGCCGATGCATCGCCTTACAGCAGCAGCAGCAGCAGCAGCAGCAGCAGCAGCAGTAGCACAAGCTTGCCTTTGAAGCTAAGGCGTAGTCTCTCTCCTCTGTCGCTAATCAGCAGCAGCAGCAGCAACAGCAGCGGCCCGCGGTTCCGCAGCAGCAGCGCCTCGCGCTCTCGTCAGCGGCCACTTGCTGCTGCTGCTTCTACTGCTGCTGCTGTTCAGCTGCCTTTGCTGCCTTCTCGCAGCACTATGGGGGCTTCTGTGTCTCTAGAAATAGTCTCTTCTGCTGCGTTCCTTCCGTCTGCAGCAGCAGCAGCAGCAGCAACACCTGAAGAAGCAGCAGCTCCTGCGACCACTGCGGCAACAGCACCTGAAGCAACAGTAGCAGCTGCAGCAGCAGCAGAAACAGAGGGGCCACCTGCGCCTGTTTCTCTTCTTGATATTGAGACTCTCAAAAGGAGACAAGAGACTCATCTCTATATGCAGCAGCAGCGCGAGCAGCAGCTACGACTGGCGCTGCAGCAGCAGCAAGAGCAGCAGCAGCAGCTTGAACAACAGCTGCTCCAGCAGCAGCAGCTCGAAAAGCAGTTACAGCAACAGCAGCAGCAGCAGCAGGCCCGCCGCAGCAGTTTGTCCGCTGTAACAATCGAGAACAGCCTTTCTATTGCTGCAACAGCAGCAGACACAGAGCAGCAAGCAGCAGAAGCGCAGCAGCAGGCACAGCAGCAACAGCAGGTGCAGCAGCACCACCAGCAAGTGCTGCCGCAGCAGATCCAGGGTCTTGCCGATGAGGCCGTCAGCACCTCTACGGACGACCCAAGACACAGCAGCACTGGCAGCAGCAGTAGCAGCGGCACCAGCAGCAGCAGCAGCGGCAACAAATCTCCGCTGCTTGAGTCTTGCGTCTCAGGAGAGACTTCAGTGGACTCCGTCGCTGCTGCTGCAGCAGAACAGCTGCACCATCAGCAGCTGCAACAGCAGCAACAGCAGCAACTGCAACAGCAGCAAATACAACAGCAGCAAGTGCAGCTGCAGCAGCTGCAGCAGCAGCGCCTGCAACTGCAGCAAGAGCAGCAGGAGCAGGCACGCCAACAGCTGCTGCAGGTTCAGGAGGAGCGAATGCATCAGAGCAATTTGCTGCTGCAGCAGCAGCAGCATCCACAGCAGCAGCTGCAGCAGCAACAGCTCCACGAACAGCAATTACAGCAAGAGCAGCAGCACTTGCAGCAGCAGCAACAGAGGCAGCAACAACTCGAACAGGAGCTGCTGCAGCAGAAGCTGCAGCGGGAGCTGCAGCAAGAGCAAGTACAACAGCTGCAGCAACAACAGCTACAACAACAACAGCTGCAGCAACAACAGCTGCAACAACAACAGCTGCAGCAACAACAGCAGCAGAAGCAGCAACAGCAGCTACAGCAACAGAAGCAGCAGCAGCAGCTAGAGCAGCACCAAAGGATGCGGCAGCAACAGCAGCAGCAGCAGCAGCTAGAGCAGCAGCGGCAGCAACAGCAGCAACAGCAACAGCTGAAGCAACAGCAGCAGCAACAGCTAGAACAACAACTAATACAGCAGCAGCAGCAGCAGCAGCAGCAGAAACAATGGCTGCAACAGCACGAGCGCGAAAAGCACGAGGCCGCGCAACAAATGAAGCAGCGGGAGCACCAACGCCAACAGCAGCTGCAGCAGCAACAACTACAGCAACAACAACTGCAGCAACAACAACTGCAGCAGCAACAGCTGAAGCAACAACAACTGCAGCAGCAGCAGCTGCACCAGCAGCAGCTGCACCAGCAACAGCTGCACCAGCAACAGCTACACCAGCAACAGCTACAGCAGCAGCAGCTACAGCAGCAACAACTGCAGCAGCAGCAGCTTCAACAACAAAAGCTTCAGCAACAACAGCTTCAGCAGCAAAAGCTGCAGCAACAGCAGCTGCAGCAACAACAGCTGCAGCAACAGCAGCTGCAGCAGCAGCAGTTGCAGCAACAACAGCTGCGACAGCAACAGCTTCAGCAGCAGCAACAGAAACAGCTGCATCAGCAACAGTTGCAGCAGCTCCAGCAGCAGCGAATCCGGCAACAACGAATGCAGCAGCAACAGCAGCAGCAGCAACAACAACTTGCGCTCCTGCAGCAATTGGCAGAGCCTGTCGAAGAAGAGGTCATAATTGCCAGCGGCAACTCCCAAGGTAAACCATAAACCCTTTTTTCCCTCTGAGAAGCAGCAGCACCTGCAGCAGCACCTGCAGCAGCAGCTGCAGCACAGCAGCAGCAGCAGCAGCAGCAGCAGCAGTTTTGTGTGGGGTGTGGGTTCAGGCGAAGAGGGCCGCTCTTGGCTCCGTGGGATGTCTCTGGACGACTGCGTTTTAGATTTGATGCAGCGGGGCCTGTAAGCCCTAAACCCTAAACCCTAAACCCTAGCTGGGCCCCCTTAAGCTGCAGACCCTAGCCGGGGCGCCCCAAACCCTACCCCTGCTGCGCTAAACCCTAAACCCTAGCCTTGGGGCCTCCGCCGCAAACCCTAGCCTGCTGCTGCCAGGCGTAAACCCTAGCCGCGGCGCCCCAAACCCTAAACCCTAAACCCCCGCGCTGCGCGTCTGCTGCAGGGCCCCCATGTCGCGGCTGACAGCAGCAGGGGAGCAGCAATTCGCAAGTTTTGTTGCTGCTCAGCTGCGCAGCAGGCAGCAAGCAGAAGCAAGAGAGTTGTCCAGAAACATAGAGCGGCAGCAGCAGGGGCTTCCGAATGGCATTACTCCTTTCGTTGCATGCTACGCAGCAGCAGCAGCAGCAGAAGCTGTGCAGACTCCCCGTGCTGCTGCTGCTGCAGCAGCAGCAGCAGCAGGGCCTGCTGCGGCCGTCGCCGTGTCGCCCGCTGCTGCAGCCGCCGCAGCAGCTGGAGCGGCTGCAGGCGCACACCACTCGCTGCTGCAACAGCAGCAAAGCTGTGCTGCTAGGCAGCAGCAGCAGCAGCACATGATGGTGCTCATGCAACACGAACAAATGTCGCAGCAGCAGCAGGTCCAGCAGCAGCAGCAAATGCAGCAACAGCAGCAGCAGCAGGAGGAGCAGCAGAGGCCTGCCGCTCGTGGATGGCTTGCTGGTGTTTTAAATTGGATGGGCGCATCCTCTTCAACGGAGAAGCAGCAACAGCAGCAGCAGCAGCAGCAACGGCAGCAGCAGCAGCAAGTTCAACAGGTAGCGCAGCAGCAGCAGCAGCAACTGGTTATGCAGATGCAACAACTACATCTTCGTGGACAGTCCCAGCAGATGCTTGCCAGCCAGCTGCCCGAGCAGCAGATGTTGCTGCTGCAGCAGCAGCAGCAGCAGCAAGTGCTGAGGCCCTCTGCCTCATTGCCTTCACTGCATGCATCGCGAAGAGCTCCTCTGTGGATGTAAAGGGTTTAGAAGAGGGGCAGCAGCAGCAGCAGCAGGACGTGAACTGTTGCTGCTGATGCAGCAGCAGCAACGATAGCAGCAGAAACTCATTGCAGTGGCACAAACAGTTCATGCTGCTGCTGCTTTTGCTTCTGCTGCTGCTGCTGCTTCTTTTTGGTTTAGAGGGGCCCGTAGGCCCTGGACTTGACTAAAGCCAGAATGGTGTAAAACCCCAAACCCTAAACCCTAGCTAGCTCCTCCCCAAAACCCCACTCCTCAATAAGCTCTAGCCCTAAGCCCTAAACCCTAGAATGAGGAGTTCCTTAACCATAGTGGCTTTAGTTCCTAAACCCTAAACCCTCGAAGCGCTAAGCCCTAGACGCTTTGCCGCAGCTCTTCAAAACCCTAAACCCTAGCTCGACAAAACCCTAGGGTTTACACTTATGATTAAAAGCCCAAATGCCGCAAAGCCCCAAACAAGTAAAAGCCAAAAGCCATGGAATGCTGCATGCGTACGGTGCATGCAGAGGCAGCAGCAGCAGCAGCAGCGGCTGCTGCTGCTGTTGCTGCTGCCGCTCTTGCTGCAGTCTTGAAGTGTGACATACCCATGTATCGTTGCGCTGCAGGTAGCTGTTCCCACTGCTGCTGCTGCTGCTAGCTATTGCTGGTGATGCTGCTGCTGCTGCTGCTGCATCTCCCAGCAGCATGTTGGTTGTCTGCTGCATTGACCGCAGCAACAAGGGCATTTATGCCCTTCTCGATTTGCATTCTGTTGCTGCACGAACATAGCAGCAGCAGCTGCAACAACAGCACTGCTGCAGCAAAGGCACGTCCCGCAGCAGCGGCCTAAACGCGGCAGCAGCAGCAGCAGCAGCAGCAGCAGCAGCAGCAGCAGTTACCTGATGAGGTGAAGCTTTGGAAAAGCCATAAGTCTCCCTTCTTGGACATACCTGCAGCAGCACGGAACGCTAAACCCCAAACCCTAAACCCTAAACCCTAGGAAAGCAGCCCAGCCTCCTTCGCTGCTGCTGCAGCCTTCTACTGCTGTCCCTGTGCTCCAGAAGCATAGCAGCAGCAGCAGCAGCAGCAGCAGTAGTGCCAGCAGCAGACTCCGCTGCAGTGCCTCAAATGGGATAGACTCAAGCTGAGGGTTTAGGGTTTAGGGTTTAGGGACCAAGTAACGTCTTCTAAAGACTGATCATTCATGAGCTTCAAATGCTTCCAGTGCAGCTTCCGGGGGCAGACGGTGATGTCCCCAGTGTACGGCTGCACCGCACCAAACCCTAAACCCTAAACCCTCAACCCTCAACCCTAAACCCTGCAGCCAGTGGCCTAAGTTGCTGCAGCAGCAGCAGGCGGCTGCCCCCGAGGTTGCCGAGAGCTCACAAGTTAAAGGACAGCCAGCTGCCATCTGGCTAGCCAGCCGGCAGCTAGCTGGCTAGCTAGCTGCCTGGTTAGCCAGCTAGCTAGCTAGCTTGCTAAACGGCCGGCTAGCTAGCTCGCTATCTGGCTGGCTAGCTAGCCATTCGGCTGGCTAGCTATCTGGCGATACTGCTAGTTAGTTAGCTAGCTAGCTAGCCACCCGGCGAGCCAGCTAGCTATCTAGCGAGCTAGCTCGCTAGCTATTTAGCTGGCTAGCTAGCCAGCTAGCTAAACAGCTAGCCAGATAGCTAAGTAGCTAGCTAGCTAACCAGCTAGCTGTACAGCTAGCCAGCTAGCTAAGTAGCTAGCTAGCTAGCTAGCTAGCTAGCTAAGTGTACCTGTAGAGCCAAAGACCTGGCATTGATGCCGCGGAGAGTGGGGCTGACGTTCAGCAGTGCAATGAGACGCAGCAGAAACCGCTGACAAACACACCAAACCCTAAACCCTAAACCCTAAACCCTAAACCTTAAACCCTAGACCCTATACCCTAAGCCCTAAACCCTAAACCCTAAACCCTTACGAGGTGCTCCTTTAAGAAAACTTCGAGACCCGATAAAATGAAACCGCCGCGCCACTGACCGCCAGCGCCTCTCCAGCTCACCTGCCAGAGCACCAGCAGCTAAACCCTAAACCCTAAAATCTACACCCTAAACCCTAACCCCTAAGCCCTAAACCCTAAACGCGAAGCCGCAGAGTTGGAGCAAGCGAAGAAGCCAGCAGAGGCAACGCATGGACCCAAACAGCCGCAGCAGCAGCAGCAGCAGCAAAAACAGCAGCAGCAAAAACAGCAGCAGCGGCAGCAGCAGCACTTACAGGCCTTCCTGCTTCGCCGTGAGCGCGTATTCCTGAGAAAGGGAAGACATGGGGGTTAACCTGCAGCAGCAGCAGCAGCAGCAGCTGTGACAGCAGGTGCAGCGGCAGCCACAGCAGCAGCAGCTGTAAATGCTGCAACAGATGCAGCACGTGAAGCGACTACTGCAGCAACAGAGGGCGCACTCGCAGCCGTAGCAGTGGTGCAGCAGCGTCAGGTGCAGCAGCAGCAGCTGTTGCTGCTGCAGTAGTAGCAGCAACAGCAACAGCAGCAGCAGCAGCAGCAGACCTGAGAGACAATAGAGAAAAGGGCCCCGCAGGCAGCAGTGAGGGCCTTGAGGGGGACGTCCCCGCTGAGGGAGCCGTCGTGGAAATAAGGAGTTGCTGCTGCTGCTGCAGCATAAAGATTTAATTTGTTGTCTTTGTCTCTTTCCAAAAGAGGCATTGGAAGAGTCAAAAAGGGAAAAGCGCAGGAGCAGCAAACAGCAGACCAGACCACCACGTTCGGCGCGTTGCGGTAGTTCAGCAGCTGCAGCAGCAGCGCAGCAGCAGCAGCAAACCAGCATGTCAACTGCAGCGGCAGCGGCAGCACAGCAGGTAGCCACCCGCTGCAGCAGCAAAGCAGCAGCAGCGCGAGCCAACTGCTGCCGCAGCAGCAGCAGCACCACAGCAGCTAGCCAGCCGTTGCAGCGGCAAAGCAGCAGCGTCAAAGCAGCAAGCCAGCCACCGCAGCAGCAAGGCAGCTAGCCAGCTGCAGCAGCAGCAAAGCAGCAAACGAAGTGCAGCAGCAGCAAAGTGCATAATGTGCTTCTCGAATAACAGATTTTCCTATCACTCAACCAGCTACGGGGGCGGCGGGGACAGCCAAAAAACAACTCCTACTGCTGCTGCTGCTGCTGCTGCTATTTCTGCTGCTGCTGCTGTTTCTGCTGCTCCTAGTGTTTGGGGTGTCTGTGCAGCTCACCTGCACTTCTCCGTCTCTGTCTGCTCTCGTCATCGCAATGTTAAGAACACTGAAGGCCAAATGCAGCAAATGAAATAATTATAAATAATTAATTAAGTAATCAATTAATTAATTAGGTTGCCGATTAATTAATTAATTAATTAAAGAGATTGCTTATTAGTTAATTAATTAATTAATTAATTAAAGAGATTGTTGATTAATTAATTAATTAATTAATTAATTAATTAATTAGATTTCTAATTAATTAATTAATTAATTAACTAGTTAAATAAACGCACCAACACAAAAAGAATCTTAAAAGAAGGCAAAAGAGCAGAAATGATAAAGAGCAGCAAAAGGGGGATAAAAAAGGGAAAGAATAAAACGAAAAAAGCCAAAAAGAAGCCGAAAAAGAGATAAAAAAGGACAAAAGGACATTAAGCGAAACAAAAGAATACAAAAAAAGAACAAAAGAAACAAAAAGGATTAAAAATGACAAAAATGACAAAAAAGAAAAAGACAAACCGTCCGGTGCGTCTGTACGCCTCCAAAAAGGTAATGTCGCTGAAGAGCTTTTGCGAGGCAGCCACCCAAGCAGCAGTGTCGCACATGTATCTGAAAAAGCAAAAAATGGGGGACTTCTCGAGAAATAAAATCAAATTTGGACAACATTTTCGAAAACTTCATTCAATTATCATTTGTTTTGACTTTATTTGAATTAAAAGGCGAAAAAAACGGCGCCAAATGGACCCACAAAGCCGCGACGGAGGCGTACATACACCGCAAACAGTGCGTGCAATTAATGCATTTCTGCAGTTCCATTTTTAATATAATCCTCCACATTTCTGCCTTTTATGAACTTTCATCTTTAGGAAAATCAAAAAGAAAAAATGGCATTTAAATCAGCCGCGTTCGCCGGCCCGCCACTGAGGTGTATGTACACCTCAGACCCGCAGAGCTGCAGGCAGCTGCAAAAGGGCTTTTCTTCATTTTCTTGAAAAGTAAATATAATATATATCTAATTTGTGTAAAATATATAATTTTAGAAGTATAATTTGGCATGCATGCAGCAAAAACGCATGCATTTAAATATTACTTGTTTATTTGTATTTATTCAAACATTTTTGCGTGCGCCCATTCTTGAAAGCTGTACATTTATTTGAATGATTTTGTATGCAAATCGCGCATGCATTTAAATATTACTTGTTTATTTGTATTTATTCAAACATTTTTGCGTGCGCCCATTCTTGAAAGCTGTACATTTATTTGAATGATTTTGTATGCAAATCGAGATAAGCAAAACTTCTCTAAGTATCCACGCCAGCGTTTAGGTGAAAACAGGCAGCAGCAGCAGCAGCAGCAGCACAACCTGCAGCAGCACCAGCACCAGCACTACCTGCAGCAGCACCAGCAGCAAAATAAACAGCACTACCAGCAGCAGCACCACCATCAGCAGCACTAGCAGCAGCAGCAGCAACAGCACTACCAGCAGCAGCACCACCATCAGCAGCACTAGCAGCAGCAGCAGCGGCAGCAACTGCAGCAGCAGCAGCAGCAGCAGCAGAGGCAGCAAAAAGGGAAGGCTGACCCCCTTTTGACAACATTGCAAATCCGCACAAACCAGTTGTTGGGGGAAAGGCCCCTGAACGCCTGGTGTATGTACACCTCCTGCAGCTCCTTCCGCAGCTCCGAGTCCGTCCGAGTCCCCAGCCAAGCAGCAACTGCTGCTCCCGCGCTGCACCCAGCTATCACCTGCAGCAGCAGCAGCAGCAGCAGCAGCAAGAGCAGCGGAGGGTGGAGCTGCGTCGGGGGCTGTGGGACTCGTACGCATGCAACAGAAGAGCAGGAGCAGCAGGGGTAGCTGCAGCAGCAGCGCGAGATTGACGGGTTGCAGCAGCAGCAAATCAAATGATCAGCAGCAGCAGCAGCAGCAGCAACAGCTCACAGAAGGCAAAAGATTCTCTCCGGTTTCATTATTGAAGAGCAGCGCCTCAATTAGGCCGAAGTGGTGGAGTCCCAGCATGGCTCCGCCTGCAGCAGCAGCAAAAGACGCAGCAGCACAGCACGAGCTGCAACAGCAGCAGCAGCAGCAGCAGCATCTGTTGATGCTGCCGCTGCAGTGAACAAGCCCGTCTTTGAACGGCTCAGAGGCAGCACTAGCCGCAGCAGCAACCGGATAGGCAGGAACAACAGCAGCAGCAGCAACCGCTGCAAGTGCAGCAGCAGCAGCAGCAACCACCACAATCGCAGCAGCATTAGCAGCAACAACAGCGAAAACCAACGTAAGTGCAGCAGCGGCAGCAGCAAGCACGGCGGGCGCAACAACAGCAGCAGCAGCAACACCATCATCACCATCACCATCAACAGCAGCAGCACCAGCGCCACCACTACCAACAGCAGCAGCAACAGCAGCAGCAACAGCAGCAGCAGCAGCAGCCCCATCACCAACCCACCCCCGCCAACAGCAGCAGCACCAACAGCACCAGCAGCAGCACCAACAGCACCAGCAGCAGCAGCAGCAGCAGCAGCAGCGGACCGCTGAGGACCAAAGCAGTGGTCTTCCACTGGCTTCTGATGTCTTGGACAGTTTGCTGCAGCGCCTGGCGCAGCTGGGGGTCGAGGTGTACGTACACCCCAAGTGCAGCAAGCGCGAGCCGCAGCTCGGAAAGAAACTCTTCAAGTAAATCTTTTGTTCCGAAGTAAGAACGACTAATTAAAAAGAAAAAACAATCCAATAAAAATAAAATTAAATAAAATTAAAATTAAATTAGAATAAACATTTAAAATCCAATATTTGCATTTAAAAAAAAGAAAATGCTTCAAAAAAAGCCATTTGGTGCTGCTGCATGCAGCCTCGCTGCACTTAAAGACCTTTATTTTATTTTATTTTATTTTATTTTACTTTATTTTGTTTACCTATTTATTTATTTTTTTTTTATTTTATTTTTATTTATTTGTTTTTTTGATTTGTTTTATTTCAATTCGAATGAAAAGAAATTTTTATGTTTCAAATGAATGTGGTCATTCTTTACATGCTTCTAAAATAAATGTTTTAATGAATATTTATTCTAATGAAAACAAATATTTTAATAAATACTGATTTTAATAAAAATAAATATTTAAAAGAAGAAATATATTTTTAGAAATATATACTTGAATTTTAGACGTATGCATTTACCTTTTAAATTTATAAATTTATAGATATCTAATTATATTTTTAAAAATTATATTTATTTAATTTGCAAATATAAATCTAATTATATTTCTAATTTTATATTTTGCAAAATAAATACTTTAAAAGTATTTAATTTGCAAATATAAAATTTAATCATGTTCAATCATATTTATAAGATTGTAATTTATAAGAGTTTCTTTACACTAAAAAAAATGAAATAATTTATTATATCATGTAAAAAGAAATTACTTTTCGAACTTTCTTTTAGTAAAATAAATATTTCAATAAAAGCCATTTACAATAAAAAAGATTTGATTGAATCATTTTTACAATTAAAATAATTTAATTAAACTGCATTAAAATTAAAATAATTTTATCAAATTACATTTGTAATAAAACTATTTTATTAAATCACATTTATAATACTTTTTGTTAAATCACATCTAAAATACAACAATTTTAACTAGACTTGAAGCTTTAAAAAGGACATTTGCATGCATGCATGCATGCATATTGTTGAATTTGTTGGAAAATATAAAGAAGAATTTTAATTTATTTCAAAATAAATAAAATTTAATCTAGTTTAATATAATTATTTTTAATCTTTGCAAAGCTTCAAACATTCTGTTTCATAAAGTCCCAAAATATTGCAAAGCTTATGATTTAAATGGCAAGATACTCCAAACCCTAAACCCTAAACCCTAAACCCCTAACTAAACTCTAAACCCTCCGCCCCAGCCCGTGGGCGCCAAACCGTAGGCCCTGCAGCCCCCGTAAACCCCAAACCCTACCCCCTACCCCCTAAACCCTAACCTCCAAACCCCAAACCCTAAACCCTAAACCCTAAACCCTAAACCCTAAACCCTAAACCGACCTGTAGAGGGCCTCCTTGAGAGCCGCCTGCGCGTGGCCCTGGAGGGCCTCGAGGGTTTCTTGAGCCAGATCTTTGAAAAGTTTTTTTTGTCTTTTTTCTCTCAGTCTTTGAAGAGACATTTTAACTCCAATTGCATCAAAAAGTTTGCTGTCGGGTCTCCGTTTCCAGGCATTGCGGCCCGTGGCTGCGTCTAGCTGCTGCGCTGCAGCAGCAAAAGCAGCAAACGAGCGGCAGCTCTGCAGCTGCTGCTGCAGCTCGCACAGCGACACGCCGCCCCCGGGGCCCCACACCCCCCGCAGCACCCGCACCGGCAGCAGCAGCTGCTGCAGCAGCAGCCGCAGCAGCAGCAGCAAACTCCTCCACGCGCCCCCCGCCCAGCGCCGCGCCGCGGACCCCCAGCTGCGCGTCCCCGCCGCTGCAGCAGCCCCCGCTGCTGCTGCTGCTTCTGCTGCAGCAGCAGCGGGAGCCCCGGCAGAAGACGCAGCAACGGAAGACGCAGAGGACGGAGAAGCAGCAGCAGCAGCAGCAGCAGCGGGAGACACCGCTGC